ATAGTATACTGCTCCTATACACTGCAGGATTATAAAATGATTGACCAACGCTCAGGGTATAGTCTGTACCACTCTTTAAAAAGTGTACTTTTGGAGGAAATGGACAATGATAGGGAAATCAGGCATTTGTTCAAAAATGGGAGTATGGAAAATACCCTCCTCTCCCAGTTTTAATTTTTTCTGCAGGTCTACATGAAAGATTTTTTTCGCCGAGTTGGCCGGTAAGAGGAATTTAATTGTTTAGGAGTAAGAGCGATAGACAGTACAAGACAGAATGGAGATAAACATCGAGTTTTACTTTTGGATCAAACAAAAATGGATTTGGTTCATTATTTGTTTGGTTGTTTTTCTACGTGTTGTTTTCAGTGTTATAGGTTTCCGCTAGAAAGGACTTTGGCGTTCTTAAAAAACAGTGAAATGTGGAATCCATATCGGCTTTTTAAATAGATTATTGCCCCCACAAATACCACTCCATCAAGGATAAATTTAGCATATCTGACAGCCTTCTTTGACTTCTGGAAGATTTCAATGTAATAACACTTTCTTTATCTTTGACAGGAGATGACGAACTACCTGGTAACATGGCACTTTTGGATCAATTGGAGGCGCTCAGATGGGTTCGACGCCACATCAAAGGTAAGCTGGCACGGTGCCAGCGTCCATCATAGGGAGACCTAGTCTGGATACCAGACCGAAGATTCTGACTGCCTGACGAATCAAGGGTCCGGTATCACTCAATGTACGTGACCGAGATTGGAGGAATTCCTCCGGTTTTCCGGAAATAGCCGAAATATTCCGAAGTTGTCCCATCTATTTTAGGCAGGTTCGGATGGTACCGTTGACGTTCGGTTATTCCCGGTAGGTAGGCTAGCTAGCTGTTGAACGTAAATTCCCGTATCCTAATGGCAGCTGTAGGTCTCACAATATTGGACTTTATAAACTGAAATCGAAGGTCGCCTTGACTGAAATGCCAAGCGAAATGCTTAATATAACTTTCTTTGACCAATGCAGGCTTTGTGCCTGAAACATGCTCTCAGTGGGGGTACACTTGCAGTATTGCGCTCTGGGTATGGAAAAAGCATCATTTTTGAGATGTTGCCACTGATGAATCGAAAACACCCGGACTTTCAACTTCTAACCCCTGACCCTTGTGTCATATCTATTTATATGCGTGGGTGATGCCTGACCTAATATTTTTATCAAGAGTCGCCAGGGAATCTTTGGTCAGGGAACCAGGCTAAGGGTGCCCTCCCATAGAAAGGTCGAAATGACAAGGCTTTAGACCTCTTCACTAATAATTTCATAATCGTGCACGCATGCGCATAAATGGCCTTGGCGGCAAGAAGTGTGAGTGGGCCATTGAACAGGGACAGGGCACGACTTTGATCATTTTCTCTCAGGTTTTCCTACTTTGTTCATTTTTTTCTTCAGAAAATCCCATTCAATCGTTTTGCTATTAGTTTCTAATCTGAGTGGGATTTTTAGTGCTCTGTATAAAGACTTCATAATCGTGATTTTCCTGTTTCGTAGTGTGGCCCCCTTCTATCACAAGTAGTAGAATTACATCGTTAGTGTTCTTGGAGCCAACCTGTGCATTTTTAAACACGTACTGATGTCCAATGTAAATGTGCTGTACGTACATGTACATATGGCTCACCACTGAACCTGGTCATAGCTTAGAGTAATACCGAAAGAAATGGTATCTAGTTGTGTTTGGGGTGCACGACAAGACAAAGTGCAGATTCCAAAGAGAAAGAGATCTGGTTCTTCAGATTTCCTAAGTGCAGAAAGCAGCAAATCGAAATTGCCGTAAACTGATTAATTGGTGATAGTCATTGAAAAATGTATTACCTTACTGTGATCGACAAAAGCATACCAAGGATAGGTACTTGTGGTTTAGTCGCCTCTGGGTGCAACGCTATTGGTCTGACAAAAATTTAAGTATTTAGCAACCAAACTGACAGGGCTAATCGCGTACGTTACACCGCAGTTAGCTACGGTTCCCTATATAATAGGGACAGGGACCAGGTGAACTATTTTTAACTGGCGTAAGTTCCACCCGTCCTTTCATTTTTGAATAAATCTGGCTAAAACTATTAAAATATGTTTAATTATACAGATTATGAACTATTCCTCTGTACAGAAAGGTATTGATTTGTCATGAAATTGTACTTTATTGCTTTCATTCCAAACCCCGAAGTTCCCGAAATGAAGAGTTAACTTCGCTTTCAATTAAATATGGCCTACTCGTGAATGAAGTCTATGGGACCTTATTGGGCATGCTAATTATATTACAAAATATTAATTAAAACAATCACATTTTGAAGCAGCACTTGCAAATCTGTATTCAAAATGAAGTGGGAATCGAAGGGTACGTTTACGTGACGGCCAAAATATCATCTCCTCACACAAATGTCCAATTTGAAATGAGTCGTTCATTCACTTTGCTACAGGATGTTCTTTAAATGTCATCCCCCTTACAGAATCAGGGTTTGGGCGCGTGAGGGGCCAACTTTTTAACAACTAAAATCAAGTCTGCCTTACTTACGTATACAATCCTTTCCATTTTATAACATCGATAAGACATTACCATTTTGTCGCTTGTCCTCACTTACATGCAGCGTTCGGAGGCGATCCTGATCGAGTGACAATATTCGGCCAGAGCGCGGGATCGTCATGTGTTAGTTTACATTTGTTGTCTCCAATGAGCCGTGGGCTGTTCAAGAACGCCATAATGCAGGTAACTGTTTAAGTTTCTCGTCCAGTTATTGACTACACTAAATTAATTGAATAAAATGCTTTTTTAAGTATATACTTAAATATATCGCCGAACAATTTGTTGTTAGATGCACTTTCAATTTGTGTTTGAGAAAGACAGGCTTCACACAAGTAGGTTTTTGGTCTTCACAGGAGATTTCCTGGTGACCAAATATGAAAAACAAATCCAAAAATTGTTGCATCACTCAACATGTTCGTTCAAACAATTCGGAAGGGGGCTCTGTGATTGATTTTCGATCAGTAAATTAACCAATGAGATAATGCATTCTGTGTACAAAAACGAAAATAAAATAAGCTTTATTATATGCTTTAAGTGGTTACTGGTCACATTACATGTAGCTGAATCCAGTGGCGAGTCCGGGGGGAGAGGGCAAGTTTCCCCCAGACATGTTGCCTGTTGTTTTTGTTTTGTTTGTAGGGATTGAGAGCACCAGCATATTAGAGTTGGTATATACTGCCATCTTTCTTTTTTATTTGGGGGTAGTGAGGATTCTTTTTATGGATGAAAAAAACAATTTGGGGAGACATTTACAAAAAAAAATACATTTTGCGCTGTCCAAGACCTGGATACGCCACTGGCACGGTCCGTGTAAACAAATTGTTAGGATGAACACTATTGCCATATAAATTCAAATCCAAATACAAATCGTATTCCGACTGTTTGAAAAATAATTCAAGAAATTGGTCGGTTTGTGTTTTCATCTGTCAGAGTGGGTCGGCAAATACCGTCTGGTCCTACGTCGGTAGAAACGAGGCAAAGAGGAGAGCCTTCGCGCTTGGCCACCTTGTAGGCTGTGACCTTCCGGAAGGTGATTCCAAAGCCCTAGCCCAATGTTTGCGAGGCGTCTCGGTACTAGACATCGTACAGCAACAAAATGAAAAGGTATGATCGTTTTCGCTTCCAAGGTGACATCTGAGGAGCTCCTAGAGGTTTCAATCTCGGTTGGCAATTGCTTATATGTCTTTTGCTGTCAGTGAAAACTGATTAATTAATGAAATAATTATATATAGTTGGTTCTTGTATATCTGCGCAATACACCTCTGAGCACTTACTCCTTATTGTTTTAATTTCATTCCCTAGCTTTTCGAGTACCTTGGCGAGCCGCCACAACTTGGGTTTGTGTCCGTCACTGACGACCGCTTCCTGCTCGACGACCCGGCGTCGTTGCTCGAGAAGGGCGCCCTCAACGACGCAGCCATCATGATTGGGCACACCAGGGACGAAGGAATGCTGTTGATGAGCATTGCATTCAGTGAATCTCTCGACGCGGCGCCGCATGTCGACAAGAAGCTCTACGATCAGCTGCTGCCCATGACTGTCGTTGGTGAGTGGCCATCCATTTTTCTTCATCGTTTTGAGCTTACAAACAGAATTCTTTTTTTCTGGACTCCCCCACTCGAAGAGAGTACAGACTGAATGGGGAAAAATGAACATTTCTATGCAGGGTATTTACGCTCGTAAATTATGATGGAGAAAAATGGATGACCCCCCCCCCCAAAAAAGTCACCTTTTAGATAAAGCAGCGCCCTCAGCTGATTTGATTGAATAGCAAAAGTGGATTTTATTTGAACTCTTACTCCAGTTTAGCATCGATGGTGTGTGTCAGTTGAGGTTGAGCATGACAGCCATCTTTCTGGTGCTGCTGTTGTTTCGGAGAGATAGTAAGAAAGGTCTACTCATGTTCCTGTGAAACAAAAGCTCTGATCAATTATTTCAATCCGTATGCCCTAATGGGATCCTTGAAATGAGGTTTGGATATCTACTTGTATCGTTCAGAAAGTTTTTTGCTTGCAGTACGCTTCAAACGTTTGTCCCTATTTCCTTTCTCAAGGCCTCGGCAGTATAGACCCAATACTTCTTCAGGCCGTGAAACTTATCTACGTGAACGACAGTGATGCGTCAGAACAACCCGGCAGACAGTTTCTGTACTCTCTGTCGGATGCCATAGGGGACTCAGGCTTCGCCTGCCCCATATACCAATTCGCCAGGGCCGCTGCATCGGCCGGCCGAGTGGTGTACCGATATTACTTCACGCACCAGCCGGAAAAACTGTCATTCTTCAGGAGGAAGTGGACGGGAGCTTGCCACTCGGACGATCTCATCTTTGTCTTTGGGCTTCCGTTCTTGCCTCCACGTGACGAGGATTCATCGGAGGAGGAGCGTTCATTCTCGGCAGCTGTGATCAAGCACTGGTCCAATTTTGCCAAGACTGGGTAATTCGCTTACGTCTTAACACCTAGACTTTGGAGAAGACAGAAAGAGTTATACGTCTGAATCGACTTCAATTATAACAAACGCTTTTGATGGCCCTTAAAGAAAGCACCTCGTCGCTCAGCTTCGGTCTAAGGCGAAGTAAACCCTATTACTTACCGACTAATCATGCTGAACAACTTAAACGGGGACAAAGGTCATTTGAGGTTTCAGTGATGTTTATGGCAGAAACTGGTCTCATTTTCGTCCGTTTTTAAAATTCTGGCAACAGTCAAATAGTTAAAAACACATCATTATAAATTAAATCTATCCGCTGGAAACATAGATAGTTCTATATACTGAATCATTACACTAGAGGAAAAATAGCTTGCTTTGTTCACACAACAGAAATCCGAACTTGGGGCTGACAGCTGGGGAAGCAGGAGAGAGTGTTAGATCTGAGGAAGAGTGGCCGCGATTCATCGCGCCAGAATTCGCTCACTTAGAGCTGGCGCCGCGCATGAAAAACGGAGGAGCATTACGTGTGCAAGAGTGCCAGTTCTGGGGCGAGTTTGCTCCGGAGCTCATCAGAGTCGCCCGTAAGTAAATCTCCCGTCACTTCTCACCGGCAATAAGTATGAACGCCGATTCGTCCAGAGAAAAAAAACCGATATATTACAAATAACCGATATTACACAAGACATTTATTTAATCTGCACTTTCCATTTAGCATTCACTGTATGAGGTCGAGATAATGAGAACACCTCCCCCATCCCCCCCAAAAATCCCAATTTAGATTCTTGATCTGCCAGTACAGAAAACATGTATCACAAGATTATTGAAAGTCCCAAGCAAGCAAATTGTATGTTAATAAATTATTGTATAATTGATTATAATACAATTTATAACAACAATGAAAAATACTTTTATTTGTTTTAATATATTATTTTTTAAAACGGCACGAGTGACAGGTGTTTTTTTCGGGTTCATGCAACGTTTTCTTAACATCTGACCCTCCAAGACCAAGAATTCCTCACCCTATGGGACTTCAAAAAGCCTCAGCTCCATCAGCATTTAACATAAAGAAGCACATTATGACAGACACTTATTTTTCATGACATTCACAAGTAAATGATTCTTGACACATACAACTAGCCAACCGACTACCCGCCACAGTAAAAAAACCAACCAAACAGCTAACTTATTCCAAATTCACAAGTTAAAAATACTCATTTAACGAAACTTGACCAAGCACAAATACCTCATCTTAAGCATGTGACCCAATCCAACAGAATGAGTCAGAAGTCGGTAGAGCAACTTTTAAGTGAGAGGCTTTTAAAAGAATCTTGCACACATGTAAAGAAATGGAACCCCCTCAACAGGTTCCCACCCGCATATACTGTCCAGTCCATTTTTAAAAGCGTGCCAAAGTGGGAGAAACATCAAAACAAAATTTTCCATTTGTTCTTTCCTGAGCAAACTAAAGTAAAATTACCAAAAAATAAAGCTTTAAAATATAAGACTCATTTTGTGAGATCCAAGCACACATAAATTACTTATAATGTGATAACTTTTTTTGTTCCTGCAACACAGAGGATGCAGCTTTGTATCGTTCCGGTTCTGCCTGCGACAGAAAATGGACAGCTTCGAGGTCCCAGGATGAGACATGTTCGAAAGAAGCATGCCCTTGAAATCTGATAACTTTACAACAAGTGTTGCTAAAACAATATATTAAAGGCACTTGTTTATGAATTCATACCGAGGAGTAGGGGCTTCAAGCTATCGTGCTGTAAATGATTTTCAGTTTAAAGTTTCGAAATAAAAATGTAGTTTTAACGAATGTTTTTGGTAAGTGATTTCCAGTTAGAGCGTGCGTGACAGAAGAAGTAAGTGCTTTTGTTCGTTTGTTTTTGTTTGTATTAATTTCAAATTAATCGATATAAACTCCAAAGACGAAAACCAAGTTTGTTTTTTAATTTAACCATACATGTACAATTTTATATTGGCCTCGATATAAATAAAAGGTGCCTATTAGGCTAAATGCAACAATCATAGGTGAATACACTCATTTACAAAATACACATAAATCATATGCCTTTCACTGTTTAATTTAAGTGCTGGGAAAATGCACGCAACGCTACAACGTGCATCGTCTTCAGTTTGGCCGACGGTGGCTCCAATGGCCTACGTCCCTGTTGTTCGAACCAAAATGGTGGATTATGCGTCAGTGCACATGAACAGTGAGCACGCAATAGCTTCATACATGGCTTTCCATCTGTATCTTGAACAGCACCCCTTAGTGTCATATGTGTCGAACCCCCCCCCCTCAAATTTTCACGGCTGGCAATATAGTTTTAGTTCCCCGGCAAAGATTTACGCCCCCGTAAAATAGTAACTTGTTTCAATGCACGAACCACACACATTGAATACTATAATAGTTTACAGTCGCGCAAGTGGAACCTCTGACCCGGTTGACCGATCCCCAACCTGCCCGTCCATATCGATCGCGCCAGAAATCGTCGCTGCTGTACTCTGATCCCGGCAGGCATACATGTTGGACGGGTCAGTGCGGTGGCCGCAACAGCAGCTGCAGTTCCAGCGCGCAGCTTTGATCTGATTCAGTGTACGGCTTCTAATGTTAGCATCCGAGAAGAATGCCAAACTGACGAGGGCGCCTTGCAGTGACTTCAGGACGTCAGAGACGAGGCTGACAACGGTGACGTCAGCGATACTGGTGACCACGAAGAAGACCACGTTGGTACCAACCACGATCAAAAACTGCAAGGGCCAAAACGATGTTATCTATATTTTTATGGTACAGTCGGCAAAGCATCCAGGGGACACATTACACCAATTGTTACACACGCAAAATCATTGTGGTCAAAATCTAAACTTATTTATGGTACATTTTGTTTCCATTTTGAATATCAGCGTTGAAAATTAAGGCAGCGAGTAGTAATCGGAGATTTAAACTCTCTGATAACCCCTAATGATACAGTGTGATCGTCGTTAATTATACTTACCTTTAAGCAGAGAAGGAGGTTACCCATGGCCGTCCCGGTCAGTGGCACTTGGTAAGTGTTCCGCCGACTATCTCTAGACAACACTGTGCAACTCCCAATGGCGACTCCCGCAAAGTTGATGCACAGTAGCACCGCACCGGGCATACCGACTGCGAGGAACGGATGCAAGTGACCTCCAATCTTGTGCTCGGTGTCTCCATCCACGGCCCCCGGATCAGAACTTTTACTCCTCATGTTTCTCAAGACGCAACTAGACATCAAGACCAATGGGCAACCCCAAGCGATGGAGGATAGTAGAATGGGGTTGGAAAAGCACGCCCGCCATTTTGCTCTACCACTTGGACCTGATGGCGAGCCAAAGGCAAGCGTGTATATCACAATGGTAAGCCAGGAAAACGTAGCCAACCAGGAAAATCGCTGAATGGCCACTAGCACTACTTTCGACCAGCCCGTTAAGGAGACAACGAAATTGACCGGGAGGAAGACCTGCATCAAGAGCAGCGACACCAGGAGCTGCACGACGCTCCTCCCGGTGTGACTTCGCTTATCCGGAAGGACCAACACCGATGTTAACGTCGAGAGAAGAGCTAATATAGAGACCGTGCTGCCAGTAAGGCACAGTCTGGAGAAAAAGGCGGGCCATTTCCCTGGAGCCGTCACCGGGGTAAAGTCACAAAGATGAATGCTACCATTGGGCAACAGCCACATCTCACCGACAGGGAAAGGATGTCCGGACGGAGTATGAACAAGAATACTACTATTGGAATTTGAAACGTGGAAATCATCTCTACTGACTGTAATCAAGGGGCATTCCCCGTCGACAAATGGGTAGCAAAGGGTCACCGATGTTTTGATATTGGTGGTATTGGCTTTTGTGTCAAAATTGTAGTTCGTCTCCTGAAAAAAGTGCTCTTCGTAATAGAGCACGCCACTTATGTTGATGTAGCAAGTATTGTTGGCAAAGTACACTTTGTTGAGCTGGATGTTGTCAACAGTGTAGCCTTCACACCACGGGTCATTGGCGACAGTGGTCCTGGACGTAGCAACTATTCGAACTGATGTCACGTTAAAATAGAGCTCGCCCAAGTTGCCGCCATTTGTAACGGGAGCTTGGTCCATGAGAGTTACCAAAACAGTCGCTGATCTGAAATCAGCGACGATTACAAGAGTACTTTCATTTGTTCTACTCACCGATGAATGTCTCTCGTAATACGTGCGCACTGTTCCCCCGCTGATGTCGGGTATTGCCAGTAGCAAATCTTCAATGGAGTTATCGATGCCATGTAACAGCCCAGGGAGTGAAAGGTTGTTGTTTACGGGTAGGCTGCCGTGTAGCCGTGGGCCAACACATGCCTCGTCCTGTAGCTGCATTCCTTCCGGGCAGCTCACGTTTCTGCACGTGCTGCTGAAGGGGTCATACATCTGCGTCTTACTGCAGTTGCCAAGGACAGTAGGGGAGCTCGCAGGTCCTCTTCCAACGATCGTTTCAACGCTAAAGACGGCACTTCGATCCAGATCAAAGACGAGGTTGAGCGTGTACTCTGGGCTGACTCGATGGCGGCTCCCCGTGGAACATTCGGGAATTTCCTCCGAGTGATTGTTGCAAATCTTACAGTAGATGTTTTTGTAAGCAGTTTTGGTAACCGCAGTGAATACGATTGCGGTGTGATTCGTGCACAAAATGTCGTACTGGTTCGTGGTCACTCCACTGCTGGTGGAAGGGCAGCTGTCGACGTAGTTTTGGTAGCAGCGATGCGGGTCAGTCGACACTGACTGCGGTGGAGCCACATCGACTTGAGTGCAGGTTTCGACATCAGGCATCCGAGATGCGGGAGGGTCTTCCTCATCACTGGCCCGGCAATCCCAAAGTTGAACCGACCAGGGCTGGAGATGATCTCGTTTGATTCCATGGCAGAGGGCACAGTAGATGTTCTTGAAGACGATGTTGTCAGGGCCGTTGACCAAAACCTCCATGAATTTGTCGCTGTCGGCACCAGTCAGCTCACAATTGTTCCGGATGCCGTCAGACGGCCAGTCGGGCGGGCAACGGGAGACAGCAACAAAGTTGTCATGGAACGGGTCATCGTGGATCGGAGATAAGCAGCCAAAGTAGTCGGAGAACTCAGAGCCTCTTACCAACCTCGATATTTGACGAGGGTCACCCGGATCAATGCAGTTCTTCTGAAAATCAACGCAGCAATCACCGTAGATTGTACACTGATCGTCACACCTGCATAGCTCTCGATAAACCTCCGAACCGCGGCCGCTGACCTTATCGATGCACGACGTCGAGCAGCGCGCTCGGGACGAAGGACAGAAAGGTCTGCAACCTGCAGAGGTTTGAAGAACATTATAAACCGTTATAAATCCTCACCAGATCTGAGAACTTGAACAAACGAAAAGGAAAGGAAGACATTTCTAATCGAAACCGCATGAAAGCCAGCACTATACTTTGGGGCCTATTGACAAAACGAGTGCCAGTAAATTATGATACAGCTTTTGTTTTGAAATAGTTTTGCGCAAAATTTGATCAGATTTTTTCTTCTCAGGACGCTTTGCATCAGTTGATAAAGACCTCTTTGAAGTTCATTGAGCGTACAGTGACCGATTGTGAACAGTACTGTTATAATTTTGATCGAGTTCCAGCTCAAATTAAGGCTTTAATGGGCCGGACCGCGTGCCACGTGTTATGCACCATAAAAAGGGACAAGGTTATTTATGCGATGCGAAGGAAGAGAAGAGAATTTTACAAATCAAGCAAGAGAAACTAGTCTCACGTCTCAAGGAAAAAAGTAGTTCACCTGGCAACAGGAGCAAACAGATGCAGGCAAGCATCCATCCGAACACGGACAAAAACGGAGCGGTGTATCCGTTCATGTTGTCACTCATCGGTGTGGCATTAAGAGAGAGTCAGCGTTTTCATCATCAGTAACACCTCAAACGAAGAAAAAGTTGCGATGTTAAAGTTCTACGGTCACTGGGAACCGAAGCGGGAACACTTTGCAAGACAAGGAATCAATGTAACTGTTGACTGTCTGATCGAACTATAAACGTGCATGTAGTGAGGTGGTTTAAATACTGTTGTAAATATCTAATTTTCGTTTAATGAGGAAGCCGTTTCTTATCTACACGAGATAGATTCGGTTGAGAGGTGTCTTGTAAGTGTTCATGACGTCAGCCCCGGGTCTGTCACAGGGAGTTGGAGACGCCTTTCTGCAGTTCCTGCAATTAAGATGATTTATTCGTTGCGCAATTTAACAAAACACCTGTTTCTAATGAGTGAACCCTTACAAAACAGTGCTGTTGATGAGATTGGGATTGTTTATTGTGAGTACCCCTCCAAATGTAGGTTCGTCCTTTAATGACATTCCTGCTTAATAAGAGAAACCTTGATTTTTTGTAGAAGAGCATAATTATGTCAACTATTATTGTATGTTTGACATGAAGTCTTCAGAAGTGGGCCAACCAGTGTTAAAAAACACAACCTGCAAGAAAGGTTTTCCCGTGTATGTGTACTTTCACATTTTACTAGCTCAGATTGTGCATCTTATATGACATTTGCTGTTTTTCTCATGTTCCTTTTCATAACCAAAGGAGCAACCAAAGAGTACTGTGCCCATTGGGATACACATGTAAATGTTGCGCGCGATCGGTCGATCAGCATGATCACGCTTTTATGGCTATTCTGTTTAATAATAGCTCTATATGTGCCTGTATGAAATCTCTGACTTTATTTCCTTTCCGAAACAGTCTTCCATGCGCAGCTGTGAATGAGAAAGAAAAATGCAGTTGTCTGAAGGTGAATTTATTGTCAGATTGTTCAGTAAAGATCGAGCCATTGCTCAGATCATCCCGGTCGTGCCCAGTAGGCCTGATAAAAATGGCTACCTTAGTGACCGTCAATGAGCGAGTGTTCTATAATCGTACGTTTTCTGCACTCTAAGTCTCAAAATCCTGGCGAAAGAGATACAAATGTGAAATACATGTTGTCCTACAATAGCAATCTAAATCATGAGTATCAAAGTCCATCATAAAAGAAGCGTTTGCTTTGTTTCCTGAATCGATTTTGTCGTCTGCCTTCTTGTCGTAGGCATAGGGCGCGAGAAAGAGCAGGTGCGCTTCTTTGTGAAGGAAACACGTCACAACTATGAAAGCGAAAAAAGGAGTTTGTCACTTACTGTCTGAATCCATGTTGTGTGTTTGGTTTCCATACTCTTGAAATTGTTGATCTTTATGAGTATGTTGGTGTGATTGTAGGCCTATCGGATGATTTAAGCTGGAAAAAAGCACTTTGATCCGATTGTTTCTACAGCAACTATAGGATGTAAGCCTTTGTCAAAAGATTGGTCATTTCTAAAGATTCTCAAATTCAAGTGAAATTGTACTACGCTCTTGTTCGACCCATCATTGAGTGCTTGCCCTGTATGGTACCCTGGTCTTTGCTCTTTGCAACATTCCTGAGAGAGTGTTCGAAGTTGTTTTTTTGATCATGCTAAGTTTACCTCAAAGACACATACCTGGATTTCACACTACTAACTTAGACTATTCTGCCCATCGCATTCAATGTAGACACCCCCTCTGCTTTATAGGTTAAATTTCCTGTCAGTAGTTTTTATTGCCAAAAGTTTGTGTAAACATTGAAAACTTGTCCATAATCCACAAGAGGCATGTAGACAGGGTCAAATTTAATTATTCATTTCTCCTTACGTACACAAGCATTTCATAATTCATTATTTGTTAGATTTCGCAGACTGTGGAATGCCTTCCCGTTGATGTTGTTAATGAAATTGCCTTTGACCTCAACTCTTTTGTCCTAAAATTGAGAAACGTCTGGCTTTTCCCTGATAGTAGCATTGTCTGAAGTTCATCCATGGATATCGGTATTATAAATGTACATGATAAATAACTTATGTACAACATGCAACTTTTAGTTACGCACCTCAAGTAAACCTTTTTTTTTTTTTTTTTGGTTATTTTGTCCCGAATTTTTTATGACTTTTTATTATTTTTTTTAATGTAAATATTGTAAATGTAACCATAACAGCACAACTTAAATTTTATTATACATGTATTTCTCAGTCTTAATTAAATAATGTCTACCAACAAACCCCGGTGCAATCTTAAAACTAACCGGCAAAGTGGATCACCATGCATTCTCGTCATACGGACATGCTGACTTTAGTAACACTGAATTTTGTTTGTATAAATCTCTAAATGTGATTTTAATGTGTTCTTGTATTTGTTGACATTTTAGGAGACCCTCTCGACAGTGATTAAGTTTGCTTGTAGGTTATCCTTCTCCTTCAAGGGAGTTAGCAAATGTTGTTTAAGTCTGTTGTTTTACTTGGCATTGGATACCCTGTGTCTACAGCTGTATTCCCTGTGAAAAATAATAAATAAAATGAAACGAAATGAAATTATATCCATGCATCTACTTCCAGTGCTCACGTGCCTCGCACAAATATAGAAGTGTTGACCTCTGTTATTCAAGTAAAACCATCCAATGAGTGCTCGACAAAAATTACTCCATGCATTTGCCCTTCCAGGCGACCTATAAATTATGGTGGCCGTAGAGGGACCCTCCAATCGTCAATATTGCCGTCAATATTCGCGACTGAAGAGCGAGTCCCCCGGTTAGCCGGTGAATAATCCCCGTTGATATGCAGCTGCAGCTTATTTCCATGTGGTTGGAAGCCACAGTGCTGAAAATTGAAAGGAAAATGAACGATGAGGATGTTAGCTTTAATTTAATATGTGTCTTGAACACCTTTTAAACTTTTGAGTATTTTTTCCTGATTTTTTTAAGTTGGGATATTAATTTTATCACTGTTGTATATGGCGACTGATTTACTGGTCTGTATCGGTACCCTGAACACACCCTTAACAGTTACTGGTTACAGCGCCCTCAATAAAAAGTCTAAACATTAAAGTTTCATTACCTCGAACCTTGGACGGGCAGAGGTGCTTTATCAAACCCCTTTATCCCCCTTGGTCCTGCAAGGGATAAGCCAATTCCCAGGGCCCTATTAGGTGGGCGCTGGTGATGAGGGAAGGGTGGTGGCTTTGATTAGTCCGCCCCCAATCTCCCCCGAAAGATAATGTTGGGGACTGGCAACTAGTCTACCTTGCCGATACGGTACGAGCGCTTAGCAACACAATAGTCAGATACCGAATACACAGATTACGGGTTCCTGTCAGTAAGTACTCAGGGACTCCACAGAAAACGCTAGCAACAAACATGGCAGCCGCCGGAGGTGAACGAATTGGAGAAGACGGGGCCTATTATTTGGAGCGTATCCTTAAAAAAAATTGATAAGCAATTTAGCTTTGTGACTTTCTGTGTAATAGTTACTGCACTTGTGCCCAAAAGTCTTGATTTCGCATGGGCTGTGTTGGTTTGTGCAGCTTTTCTACTGCTTGCTTGCCCAAACATTTGCCAATCAAACAAAGTTTTAGTTTAACCGCCATGACCGCCTGTTGGCGTGCTGCCTTGCTGGTTCTCATCTGAGCGGGGGCTGGGACAACTCGACGTTTGTCAGCTGCACTGGGGACAACTCAGCCGTTGGGACAACTCGACTTTTAAACTCGAGCTATTAAAACATTAAACACATGGAAAGCATGGACAGACAAATCGACCGTTTGGTACAAGTTGTCCATTGAGGCAGGTCGGCTTGTAATGACATGAATGAGTGTGTGTGCACTTTTTCAGTCACTCCACTCTTGAAACAGTGGATATTTAGCCGTCGCCAGCTAAAATTAACAAGGCCTAGCCTAGGCTAAATGATATGTAGCTTAGGCACATGCTGAGTAGGCTAACTGAGGTTTTTGGACTTGTTGAAAATTCTTACTGTAACAAATCATAGTCTGGCTCTATGCCAACATAGGCCTAGTCATCGTAATTTCATATTCACATGGTGTGAATCAGACCATTTAACAAATTTAGACTTTTCCCCTAACAAAATTCTTCAGAGCTACATATCAGGAAAAGAAAATGTCATACTCTGTTATTAAATGTTGGAATCAGTTTCAAAAAAATAAATGTATGCCTAGAATAATTTTGGGGGGCAAAACAAAAGTCGATGGCTGGGAATTGAACCCAGATGGGAGCACTTCAAGTCTTCATGTTCGCTCCCTAGAAATATAAGCTATCAACTAGACTTCGGACCCATTTTGAAATCTGGTGGTAATTTGATAGCCTTCATAGGCTTACTCGTGTATAGACATCAAAGAGGGCACTGTCTTCCTGTAGCTGGCTAAATATCATTTAGTTAAGGTTAGGCGGCAATGGATAAATATCCACTGTCTAAAGAGAAACGAAGGAAAATAGAAACAATTTCTGACTCAGGGTCAGATTTACTGCTCCCCTCACCGGCAGACTAGCTACTGACATGACTGATCATCAGTATGGCCGGGCTGCCTGTGCAGTATGGATGGTGTGCTGCACCACTGTGTATGCTACATAGATGTAGTCATCATAGCCTTCACACCATACTGGTTGGTTTTCTATTTCATTGACTCATTCGGACTCATGCTTGGCATATGGCTTTTCTTACCGGAGCATCTCAATATTTTCTCACAATTAGGACTTCCCCATTCTTTCTTCTGGTGAAATTTGTCTGTCAGTGTGCCATTTGAAGTGCCTCAAAAAAGTTAGAATTCATCACGTCAGAGCAACAAGGTCGTATCTTGTGTATAAACAACCTTGTTGCACCGACACGACAAATTGCTCTGATCGCATGAACTAATTATGTGAAATTATCTCACCTCTTAAATTCTACAGTTGTCACAATATCTATAATTTGTAAAGGTTATGCCCTTCCTTGACTTAGTCTTACATAGAGGCATCACTTGCTGCTGATTCCGACGATGAATTCACCTATGAAGAAGTCCCAATCGATGATGACTTTGCATCAGGTGAGGTTTCAATGGGTTTTATGTTCCTAAACATTTTTGCAGGTTAAGCCATTTCTGGTCATGCAAGAAATGTAAGACCAAGGGCTTTTATATAATTTTATTGTTTTTAATGCCTCGATCAATTTTCAAATAGGTTCTTCTTTGAACATTCCATTTTTCATTATGGTTATTCCATTCATTCTCAAAGTCTCCCATTAGTAATTTGATGGAATCATTTTTCATTCATTTATGAAAGGTTTGTATTTCCACTCTTTTGATGCAGCTCTGATTTCTGGAGCTGTTTCATCCAGGCTCCCTCTTAATAACCCCCATTTCTTGGTCTGTCTGTGATTCAGAACCAGACGAGGACCTCCATGCAGCTGTCAGAACCATACAGGAGGCGCAGGAGGATCAAGAAGCCCTGGTCAGCATTCTTGCCATTTCCATCTCCGTGACGGCTTCATGGCAACTTGTAGACAACAAAAATCATCTAATATCACAGACAGCAATTGCAAATTGATGGGTTTAGAAACACATTTGATGTGCTTGCTTTATGTGGAAATGGCAAAATAAGACGTTGAGAACAGTCCGTTTTAAACATAGATACATGTACTGTGGAACAGTATTTGTGCGATGTGAATAATACGCATAGTGTTCAAAGGTTTTTGGTCAAAGATTTGCTTGTTGACGGTGATGCCTTGGAAGCTTTGCCCCGTGTTGAGTCTTAAAGGGTCCTTATAGCCAAACATTTTTCTTACACAGGGTTTTTGTACAACTTTACCCCCCCCCTTCTCCTTTGTATGAAAAATGTTTAACATCTCTTTTGTGGGGTCTTGTGTATTGAAAATGTTACTGTTTATGCATTTAAAATTGTCCCTTCTTTTTTGGGGGGGACAACTGAGGGCTTTTTTGATGTGATGCCAATAAGGGAAGACAATGTTCATTTTAGAAATATTTCCATTAAAATTAGGAAACTGGAATTTGCTCATTGAAAATGTTACTTAGAATGTTGTTCATTACTTTATTGCCATTCACCTAGAGGAACTTAAAATTCTGGAAAGTTAGGTCAGCACAGAATGAAAGTTCAAGCATTTTTTTGTTCACAATCAGTGTAACATCGACGTTTTCTTTCAGGGATGACTCGCAGTTTTGCCCTTGAGTATTAAAATATATTCATTAGCATAAACACCCAAAAGACCCCAAAATACCCTTTAATAGCAAAACAGCAATAATTGAGACAAGTGTACTTTCAAGGGTTGTATGAAGAACGCATTCCATAAACCCTTTAATACTCTGTTGATGCAGAGTTTGAAGAGGGATTTATTTCAGTTTTTGGTTTTCCAACAGATGCGAGGAGAAAGGTTGGTTCCTCCACCTGTCAACCTGAGGCCAGAGGTGGTGGACGATTTCGTGCGCAACTTCCTGGTGAAGATGGGAATGATGCGTACCATGGACTGCTTCCAGACAGAATGGTAACAAACGAAATGCCATCAGTCATTTGCAGTTAGCTCATATGTAGGCTTGCCTTTGGTAAAGAGAACCGTCGATAGCTCGCACTATGGGATTCGAGCACCAGCAAGTGTCAAGGGTAAGCTATGGTCTGAACGACTTGGCTACGGCTCACAGTATTACAGGTGCCTATGTATGGAAACCGCCACCTAGCAGCTAAAAACCAGTCTCCATAGATGGATGTGTTAATTCCTAGCCAGAGCCACGTTATTCATACATGACCTATGCTTTGCATCGTTGCCCCTCAGGGTATTGGCATACACTTGGAGTGTACATCACATGATTACGATCTCTGTACCATGTCAACGCCACATTAGGTATGAACTGCAGCAGCGCGGCCTCCTGAATGAGGAAGATGTCAAGACCGTCCCTGACTTATACGTTCACAACCAGCAGCTGGACGACCAGGTCAAGACGCTGAGGAGAGATTTGGAAAAGTTTAAGGATGCAGCGAAGTAAGTTTGGAGTGGAATGTAAAAGTAGGGGGAAGAAATTGTTTTCTACTAAAATTGTCTTATCAGTTTGGTACTGTGCAGTGTGGTATGATCACAAAAGCCTTGAATGATCACTGAGACATGGTTCAGTAATTAAGATTTGTCAGCTGACATCAGAGTTTCTCAATTCATTTAGAATTCTTGAAATAATTTACCAGTTGATAACATGCTTAATGGTTAACTGTATTAGATTATGTGAAGTCACCCTAATATCAGAAACTTCAGTGTCATCTCATTCACTGTAATATTAGGAACTTTTGCTTGTTTCTTTTGAAGAAATTTCAGTGAATAAAAAGCAAATCTAAAATGACCAGATTTGAGTTAAAGAATATCATCGAGTATCGTTGTCCATTGCAAAAATCCAAAATTTGTGAAAAAAGGCGGTATTCGGATACACTATTGATATGGAGATTGGGATCGAATTGAATTTTTGGAGGCATTCATGCTGACATACTCTGTGACCTTGTCATGACTTTTCTTTTCGCAGTAAAGCAAAGGACACTTACGTCAAGCTGCGAAAGGAGAGAGACTACAACCGCATGCACCACAAGAGAGTGGTGCAGGAGAAGAACCGACTGATTGAAGACATTAAAAAGTAAGGCTATGCAACGTGCTTCGACACTCTCACAGATACAGAATGAGGTCGCTAAAGCAAATTTATTTTTGACAATTTTTAATGTTGGATTGGGAAAATAAAGGGCTTGCTACTCATACTGGTTGCGTCCATTATTATTGCATTTTTGTACCAAACCATCACAGCCAAGAGGACGGAATTGTACATGATCTTACAAAAAAAAACAAATTGCAAAAATAGATAAAAAGAAATACATTAAGTGACATAAATGTGTTAAAGATGCACAGATAGAAATTACTGAAAGTTGGGTCAAAATCATATGCCAGTATAAGTACACTCAACAGTTTTATAAAAAAAGACACAGGACAGGTATTTCGCTCATTGTTGCCACAGTGCACAAGGCACAGACAAAAGTGCTATCTTCCCTCGTCATGGGGACCAGTACACACACGTGCTGAAACACAGACGCTGTGGGGACCAAAAATGTCATTGGGACAAATTTTTGTTGATGTTGACTTTTCAAACAACAACAGATTCATCCCCTCAATGTGATAACGGCTTGGGCACGTGTTTGTCCAGAGTTTGCGATAAACACAACTGTGAATTGCTTTCAAAGCTCAAGGCATTGTGTTTACATTGCTTCCTACAACATACCTTGCTCCCATAGACTAAACAATCATACACGTTTGAGGATCGCTCATGGGAAATAACCTGTTCCCTTTGGGTCTGGTCCCTACGCTAACACCATACAGACTGGTAGGGTGAAAGCCATTCATTTCTTCCTATGCAGATTGAAGAAGCACTATGCCTCCTACGAGCCAACTTTGCAGCAGTTGAAGCAGAAGTATGAGATGGCCATGAAGGAGAAGATGCTGGCCAAGCTGGAGCGAGACAGAGCCGTCAATCAGGTAGAAATTCCACCGGGGCTTTGTCTGATTGCTGTACAAACTCTTTATCTTGTACTTGGAATTTGGTTGAATTTCAGACAAATTGGCAGTGTTGGTAATGCCTCATCAGATTGAAATCATTTAGTGGTAAAAGTTTGTATTGTGGTAACTTTGTCTAAAACTTGTTTGAATAGAATTTTTCTTGGGCTATTAAAAGTTCAAATAACTATGTCCTGTTGTGGAGATGAGTCCAGGAACAAGACTCACCCTTTCTACTGTGAGTTGCCGTCAATACAGTTATATGAATCTGTTTTGCCATCCACAATTTTTTCCTTGTACATCCATTAGCAAAATGTTTTGCCATCACCCATCCATCCACTTGAACAGGTTGCTGGCCTCCAGGCCACCTTGCGGAACCTGGAGTCAGGCAGTCGGGACAGTGGGTCCCTGGAGCTGTCCAAGGCTGAACGCCGGCTGGTCTACGCCTCGGGGGTGGGCCCCACTCAGAGCGCCGTACGCCAGGCCAGGGAGATGCACACCCAGCCCAGCCGACCTGACCCCGACAACATGGACGTCACAGCTCAGCCCCAGCCCAGACACCCCGATGTAAGTCTGCTTTGTAATAATAGTATCAGTCGTCTGTTAAGTGACTCCCCCAGTGACTAAGAATGTGACCCTCACCTCACTGATAACGTTGTGTTATTCACCCCAAATAACATATCCAAACAACAATAGTTTTCATTCAAGAATCTGCTGCTAGCCGGTGTTGTTTAACTTTATACCACCTGTTTTTGCCTTTCATTTCCCATTAATTCTGGGGCCTTGATATTTGCACCACAGCACATTATTATGTTTCTTGGAAAGTTTGACGCATACTGGAAAATTCTGTGTAATCAGAATCCCTGTTCATAAACTAGGTACCCCAATGACTAATTGCCGTTTGATTTCCGAGATGTATTTCAGTTTATTATATATAACGGGTTTGCCCTTACCCAACGTATATTAATAAACACTGTATGCTCAGTGCTTGTCCGAGAGCTTGCGAAAAAAAAAAAAAAAAATACATCTTGAAAATAGTTCGCGGTACCCGCAAGCTTTGTGGTC